CCTCCGCAGTTTTCGCTGCACTTTCTCCGCCCCCCGCCTCCCCAGCCTCCCCGGCCCGGTCCCTCCCGCGCAGGCCTTCGGAATTTCCTCGATCCCCGACGCTGCACTTAGCGATGCCTCTGGCAGTACAGTGTTCCGCGCTGCTTTTGAAAGTCTTCACAGTCTGGGTTCGGAACTGCATTCCAGGAAAATCTCTCACCCCAAACTACTCCGATAGAAAAGCCTTTGAGAAACGGAGTGGGTGAGCCCCGTGGGTGTTCGCAGGACAAACGTCCCCACCGTGCGCCCCCCTGCAGCGGTACCCGCGTGAGGCCCGGGGGAGAACCAAGTGTGCCTTCCCAGCCCCGGGCGAGTTCAGACCCACAGGACCGGCCCATCACAGACAGGGCGGTGCGCTGAAGGAAGACAGACCTTGAGAGGGTCACCGAACTGACTGGGCCCCGTCTACACTCGGGAAGCCGCGTGCATTACAGTCAGCCCCCCTCCCACTCCCCCCTGAGATCTGTCCGAGCTCAGCTGAGCATCTCTCTCTTCCTCTGGATCCTCACTTCTCCCACCTCCTGGCGGTAAGTGCTTAGCATCGCACCCTGCACCCAGCTCTCCGTGGGAGTGGCTGGCGCGCTCCAGCCGGAAAGAAGCACGTTTAAAAGGCCGAAGGAGCAAAGGGAAAGGGGGACAGGGTTTTGAGAGAACCCCTGGCCTGGGGCGACACAGGCTTCCCGAGGCATCCGGGAGAACCCCAAAGATCACCTCCCACTTCCAATGGCCGAGGGGATGTGTTTAAACCCCGGGAAGCCGTGGAGCCGGGGCTGGATGAGAAAAAGCACCACCACAAACAGTACCTTCACTTCTGCCCAAGGACAAGACGTGTCTTATAAGAAGGAAGATCCAAGCAAAGAGAAGCTGTGCCCTGTAGGGACTATGGAAGACACTCTCCCTAATCTCTCCGTTATCTGGCGGAGGTCACCCCGCCCCCCCGCCGGCATCAATTTCCCGCAGCATTTACTTCTATGATCACATTAATTTAAAAACTTTTTTCCCTTTCAATTAGCCTAAATGAAATTTTTTAAATTTATTTTTTATTGAAGTAATTTCTGGTGTACAGCATAACAATTCAGTCATACATATACATACATTCTTTTCCATTATGGGTCACTACTGGATATTGAATATAATTCCCTGTGCTAGACAGAAGAAACTTGTTTATCTATTTTATATACAGTTAGTATCTGCAAATCTCGAACTTCCAATTTGCCCTTTCCCAGTAATCATAAGTTTGTTTTCTATGTGTGTGTCTGTCTCTGTTTTGTAGTAAGTTCATTTGTCTTTTTTTTTAAGATTCCACATATGAGTGATCTCATACGGTATTTTTCTTTCTCTTTCTGGCTTACTTCTCTTAGAATGACGATCTCCAGGTCCATTCATGTTGCTGCAAATGGCATTATTTTATTCTTTTTTATGGCTGTGTAGTATTCCATTGTATAAATATACCACAACTTCTTTATCCAGTCATCTGTCAATGGACATTTAGGTTGTTTTCATGTATTGGCTATGTAAATAATGCTGCTATGAATCTTATCTTTTCAAATTAGGGTTCCCTCTGGATACATGCCCAGGAGTGGGATTGATGGATCATATGGTAAATGTATTTTTAGTCTTTCGTGGAATCTCCGTAGTGTTTTCCATAACAGCTGTACCAAACTACATTCCCACCAACAGTGTAGGAGGGTTTCCTTTTCCTCCACACCCTCTTCAGCATTTATCATTTGTGGACTTTTTAATGATGGCCATTCTGACTGGTGTGAAGTGATACGTCACTGTAGTTTTGATTTAAATGCTCCTCTTACCCAAGATCTGATCATAACCATCATGTTGCCTGTAACGATGGTAGCTGCCTTCTTGGTGGGGAGGCTCTTTTTCCGTCTCGTGCAAAGAGGACTTCATCTCATGCCCTCCCAATTCCTGTTATTTTTTTGCTAATTCCAAGATTCCAAGGGGGGAAAAGTCTGCTCTCATCAGCTCATACAGTTGTAGGATTTGAAGACAAAATAAAGACTGAATCCAATTTTTTGTAAGTCTATAGTAAAAAAAACCCCAAAGTAAACATTTTAATGTGGAGTTGGTAAGACAAATCAAGGAACCCAAGGAATTGCCAATAAGGGGTGAAGAGCATTTTCTGGGGATTAGGCCTTAATTCTGCTCCACAGGAAGGGGAAGGAGGTGAGGTTATTCACGGGCCCCCTTGAAACGGCTCTAAGGACGTCCTAGGGGAGTGGCCAACCGGGCCAGGCCGGGCAATGGTGAGGAAACATTGTCAGAAGAGGATAATGATACTGAGTGTTCCTCCTGAGCTAAGTTCACACTTTCCAACCAAGATGGCAAAAATGGTGGCCACTGGATAGAAAGGATCCATTTGGTCAGAACAGAGGCCTGTGTTTACATTCCTTACAAAACAAGCATGGTTTCTGGGAGATTTCATAGTTCGCAGGTCGGTGGAGCGGTACACATCCTAACTGATAGCTGACTTCTCCATCTCTGCCGCTAACAGAGACAGCCTCTTCACGTCACCTTTCTACTGAGATGTCACATAATACAGAAGAGCGTGGAGATCGAACATACAGCATGGTGATCACGAAGCCACACTTCCGGCACCCCAGGAGCCCCCATGCCCTCTGAGTTCCTCTCCACCCAACGTGTAATGGAATAGTTTAGTTTAAAGTGATCCTCTTTTAAAAAACATTTCATTGGGATTTCATTTTCATTTCCTTAAAAGGAAAAAAATGAAAAATAAAGGCTTATGATTACCAGTAGGAAGATGCTAATTAATAAAATGGATTAAAGACATGAGATTCGTGACTGTCAGTTTTACTCCACTCAGTTCCGTTCAATCCTGTATCAATGTCGAGTTCTTGGAATGCTCACTGGACATCCTTGTAGACAGTCTTCCAAACTGAAGAGTCTTTGGCTCCAGCGCTTGTGTCCGCCTGACACGTTGCATTACTGATGAAAGTCCCCATGTCCCCACAGGGAAACAGCCTTGTTAGTGGCAGGACCCGCTCCCTGCCTCCCTGGGGAGCTGCCAAACTCAGGTGCACCGGCTGCAGACACCATGCCAGTTCCGACAGCCGGCTTCCTTTCCACTTGTTTATTTGTTCAGCTCTGTTTACTTATAAAATGCTGGCTACACATGTTGTCCTGTGAAACATCCTTTTCTTCCTATTTACTTAAATTCATCATCCCTCCTCCTGCCTCTGCTACAACTGGTCTGTTCTTCATTCTACTCTTTCTCAAACTCTGTCTGAAAATCCCAACGTGCTTGTTCGTGCAGGTTCCGGGGCCACATTCCCTGGAATTCTGATCCACTTGGTCTCCCACCTTTAAGACCAAGCTCAGGAGCTGCCTCTTCCAGGAAGCCTCTCCTGTTTCCCCCCTTTTGGACCAGGAACATACTTCTTTTCAAATTCCTCCAAGCCTTATGTTCTCCCTGAAGCTGTCCCCATTCTACCTTGGATTTCTCTGGGTACTTTATTCCTCTTTTCTCTTTGGATTTTGAGCTTTTGATCTCAAGTTGTTCATTCTCTCTTTTTTTTTTACTACCCCACGGAAAACTGACACCCAATAAATATTTGGTGAATGACTAGATGTTGCTGTCTGCAAGTAACCTGCAGTCACACAGGTCTTGTGTAAATGAGAGCATCTCATATGCCCCCGTTTATTTTGAGTTTGATGTTAGAAAAGTGCATCTTACACTTACCAACAGTTCGCAGCAGCCCAGCCATAGTCACGAGGGAGGACCCTGCAGACAGACCCTCCCCAAGGGCCAGTGGAGAAACTGCCTGCCTCCCAGGGCCGGCAACCACGGGGTTAATCTTCACATTCAGTGGTGGGTCCTCAAAACTCCTTTCCTGTTTATTGAGCAAATTCTCATGCTGGAATTTTAATAACTTTTGCCATTTCAAACAACTAACTGAAGCCAAAGGCAGGGAAAGCATGAAAGTTTCAGCTTAAAAAAATACCGAGGAGCACAAAGTCCTTATTATGCACCGTCTGCTCCCTGGCCGGCTCGGGGCAGGGCTCTGGGAGGGCCAGGGACACGCGGCAGGGCAGACTGGTCCTCAGCGGAGGCGAAGGTAAATCCCAGCCCAGGGTGCAGAGACAGCCAGCGTTCTCGGGCCCCTCAGGGCCCTCTGGTGGAAGGAGATGATGCTATGAGAACCAGTTCCACAGTAAATGGGGCCAGTTTCCAGGCCCTTCCTACCTTAAATTTGCAGCATTTTCATGAAAAAGACCCCAAAAGCTGAGAAGACCTCAGAGTCACAGAGCAGACCGCCAGGGTCCAAGGTCACACAGCCATCCCGGGTGGAACCAGCCCCTCTGCACATTCCCCAAGTCCTTTGCCCTGTGGGTCCGAGC